CTCATCCTCAGATGATCGAGTTTAAGATCCTCGACCTCACTTTTAAAGCCCTCCATAGTCTTGCTTCTTCTTACCTCTGCGACCTACTAAAACCTTACCAACCTGACTGCATCTTCCACTCGGTGGTCACTGACCTGCTCCATGTCCCCCACCCTGCACGCACCACCATTGGCGGTCGGGCCTTCAGCCTTTCTACCCCCACCCTCTGGAAGTCCATCCCTGAATTCCTTTGCCTCACCCCTTCACTTGCCTCCTTCAAGACCTGTCCCAAGACTTTCCTCTTTGACTGTGCCTTTGGTCATCCTCCTAATCCCACCCTTTCTACCTTGTCCTCCACCCCTCCCACCTTGTTCTTCACCCCTCCACCCCTCTTGATTCCAACCCCCAGCTCAGGTGCAAACCCTTGACTGTCCAGCTTTTGGTATGTCCTCCCAACGTGAAAGGCACTATATAATGAAATTTGTATTTATTGTATTTAAAAATATTTTTCTTTTGGAAACCTTTGAATTGTATCTTCAGTCATCAATCAGATTTGAAACATATTTGGGGAAAAGTAATAGAGTACCAACAGAAGTTAGACACTGTTAGCATTAGAGCCTAATACTAAACCTAGCAATGTAATGTATACCACAGAGTTGTTTTCTATTTATCGATGAGAGCAAAGAGTGCAGAATAGCAAAGACAGGCAAAGGCAAAGTTATGTGATCAAACAGAGTTTGGTATTTTCCCAAGAACAGTAAAGGTTGAGAGGAGACCTGAGAAATTTTTAAAATTATGATCAAGTCAACAAGGAGATATCAGTTCCACTTATAGGCAAGCCAGTACCTAGAGGGCACAGATTTAATGTACTTACAAAGGGAGAGGTGAGGGGTTTGTTTTACACAGGGGGGTTGTTAGAAAGTTGAATACCCTAATTTGAATCATGGTTGAGACCAAATCCACATTAGCTTTTAATAGAGAATTATTTAAATTATCTGAGAAGAAAAATAAAAGTATGTATATTGGAACAGGGAAGAAGAATTGAACTAAACAGACAGCTGTTTCAGAGAGCCAGTACTGCCATGATGGGTCGAATTACATTCTTCTGTGTTGCAAATTTCTATGGTTGTATGGGGAGCAAAACACCCCATACCACAAGTATTTTGGTTTTTCCATTTATAGTCACCAATTCCCAATACCTCATTTTTTTTACTGTAGATTGTTATTTTTTGTATTTATAAATAGCATTTTAATTGGATTTGAATGAAATTTGATGACACAAAGATCCCCAAATTGTAAAAGGTTAATAAGGAAACTGTAACATCTGACAGATGATATTACAATACAATGCAGGTATTGGTTTCCCTGGTCAGGGAGTTGAAAGTCTATTGCAAATGTTAGGATGATGAAAGCACACAATTATTACATTGGTCCTGTAACAAAATGTTGGTGACAAAATATTTATGACCTTCACATATAACTTGTTGCAAACTTGGTATCAAATATTAGATAGGACTCTCATATCCTGAAGTCCGAAAAATTATTTAGCAGCTAAACAGCAAGGTTTTATGAGCCCGGCTGGGATTGCAATGTTATTTAAACGGAAGAAGCAGTGACAAAGAGAGCAGGAAATTCACTGAGACCAACCAATGTTCATTTCTAAAACAATGTAGACAACATCAGCAAAGAACTGTAAGAAATATATTGCTTTGAAGTTTACCTTCAATAGTCTGTGAAATTGTCTTGTGTCCTTGAACAATATTAGCTTCATATTTGTTTTAAAACATAATTCAATCTGATAAATGAATAGAATTATTTTTAGTCTGTAAATCTGTGTTTTGTTGATAATATTTCAACTTTCTGAATTGAGATTGGTGATGTACAAGGGATTATGGCTGAATCCAGTGACATACACCTTCTTATAAAGGTTAAGTGTTGGAGCCAGGTTATGAGTCCTGTAACCGTGTTGGCAGATCTCCAGAGCCAGACAGATACTGAACACACACGGAGGCCGTCTTTGTTGATGGACAAATGGTTTATTTAAACAGGGGAGAAAACAACCCCACCAAACCCCCAGTACCTGTAGCAAGGACCATCACTGCTCAATAATTCTAACAAATCGAGAGGATTTGCACACAAGATTCCTTTTTTTTTTGCAACCTGCAAGCCCAGAGGTTTCCTTCATCCAGTCCCAGAGTAAGAGAGATCAGAGGTGGACTGGGTTAATCCTTTATATCATACATGCCTCACTTCATCTCAGGTATATTGCAAGGATATGGTCTGCTATGGTAACTGTGGTTCAGCCAGTTTTCAAATAGGAATTGGTGGGAATTAAGCTGAATTACAACAGAAGTGCAGACTTGTTTTGTCATTTAGGTTCCTATGTACTGGTCACACCAAGGTAACGTTGTGTGAAGGCAAAGTTTTTGTGGTACAGTTTGCATCACAAAAGAACGAGTGTTATTCTTGAAGTACATATCAGGTGATAGCTCTTTGGTGTGTGGCTGGGATATTACTTATTTTGTATCCATTATACAACAAATAACATGGCCGCACATTTTAATTTCAATGTGACCTTTTGATGTTTGTTGTTTTTTAAGTTTAAAATTTGTTATTTTTCTTGGGAGGATGAGCCTGATAACAAAAATACAAAGAGAGAATAACTAGCGTTAATTATACTGCTCATAATCAACATAAATAAAAATAAATAATAAGTAATCCTTCCATTTGATGGAGCATCTATCATGTCAGGTAAACATCTAAAAGTGCTTCAAACAATTTTACTCTAAACTAAGGTGCCTTTTTTGGTAGGCAAATGCAGCAGCCAATTTGTGCATTGCAGTGTCCCACATAGCCATTGCATGAATGACTAGTTTTATCCTGGAAACTTGCTGGCCTGGTTACTGGGAGAAACTTCTTGAACAGTGCTGTGGGACCTTTAAAGTTTACCTGAAAAAGCAGAGAGTTTAGTTTAATGTTTCATCCAAGGACGAAATTGGATTTATTGCCAACAATATGTGTACACAGTTAACATCACTGTGTCTAACTTGCAGTATTTCATAACAATTTTTTTAAATAAGAAGTGTCTCATTATTACATTTCTAAAATATTGTATTCTTCAACACATCCACAATCTATTTATTGGGGGAACAACTATGAGATGGTGCCTATTTTATAATTAGCAAAACAAACACATTTTGCCCACAAATATACAGTCAATTCACTTTACAGTCTATTCTGTGAAGCACTTTGAGACATCCAGAAGATGTGAAAAGCGCTATATCAAATGCAAGGATTATTATATTTATTATAAATAATATGACAAATGGATAACATAAACACTTGCATTATCTCTCAAACCCAAAGTTAAATTCTTCATCTGCAAATCTGTCAGATTCCATCTCGAAATGGAAATTGAATGAAAATGTAGACACAGTATAGATACTGAATGGAGTCTAAGCATCGGAATGGACGAGTTGGACCGAATGATCTGTTTCTACGTCGCGTTTCTTTACAACAACAACAAGATTACATTTGTATAGCGCCTTTCATGCCGGGAGGACATCCCAAGGTGCTGGACAGAGTCTTGAGGCGGGACTTGAAGTAGGCTAAGGAGGGGGCGAGGCGGAGTGATTGGGGGATGGAATTCCAAAGGTTGGGGGCAGAGGGACTGAAGGCTCTCCCACTAATGGGGCGAGTGGGTTGGGGGACGTGGAGCAGGCCAGAGCCGACTGAGCGGAGGGAGCCTGCGGGTTGGTAGTGGGTTAGGAGGTCACAGAGGTAGGGTGGGGTGATGCCATGGAGGGCTTTGTAGGATCTTGAACTGGATCTTCTGAAGGATAGGGAGCCGATGGAGTTGGGCGAGAGTGGGGGAGATGGGGTCACAGAGTTTGGTGCAGGAGAGGACACGGGCTGCAGAGTTCTGGATTATCTGCAGCCTGTGGAGGGAGGAGTTGGGACGGCCGACAAACAGGGCATTTGCATAGTCGAGCCGGGAGGTGATGAAGGCACGAACAAGAAGTATTCTGAGCACAGTTTTGAATGGTGATGGACTGCACAGTGACGTGTCATTGCTCTGACACCCAGGATAGAGTCACGCTCCACAAAAACACAGTCAATCCACTTTGCAGCATATGCTTTGAGACGAATCAATGACGTGATAAGGCGCTGTATCAAATGCAAGGATTATTATTATTATTATTATTGGGAGAGGGCTGGAGGGTACAGCAGTCGAGGAGAGCTCTCATCTCCAAATACCCCTTACCACAAAGGTTTCAAGTCGCAGTCGAATCGACAACAGCAAAAATAAAAGACTACAATTCCCAGTGTCTGGTGTGGTGGGATGGCTTCGAGGTGTGGGGGTGGGTGGGGGGGGAGGAGGGGTGGTGGGGGGGGGGGCGGATCAGATCTGATGTCAGGCGACTTGGTGTTGGCTGGATTTGCAGTCAACCTGCCCAGGGTGGTGCGTCCTCCTCTGGCAGAGCTGAGCAGAGCAGAGCAGCGCCTCCAGCCCCCAGACAGCTGTTTGTGTGGCAGCAGCACATCGACTGCAACAAACACAACCTCATCCTCCAAATGAGAGAGGAGGAGGAGGAGGGAGGGGGGAAAAAAAGGCGTTGCCAACTGCAAATGGGAGAGAGAACTGCCAGCCCAGAGAGCGTCCAGATCTCCTGCTCCAACCCCTGAGGATCCCCCCCCTCCCCCCCTCCTACCTCCTCCTCCCGGGGGCTGCTCGGATCCCTTTAGGTGCGTTATGCGATGGTGAACGGGAACCCGAACGCGTTGCGTTGCGCTGCGCTGCTTTGCTGTGCTGTGCTGTGCTGTGCGCGCTGTGGCGAGTTATCGATGCGTAAACGGGTGCATTGCTTTATTGCAGGACACAGACCGGGTGCTGACTGATCTGCATTGAGGAGACTGCCTTCAGAGCCGAGCCGAGCCGAGCCGAGAGAGAGAGAGAGAGAGAGAGAGAGGGGTGGGAGGTGGGGGGTGGGGGTGGTAGGGGGGGAGATCGGCTGCAAAAAAAAAAAAAACCAGACACCCCACATGCACACACACCGCACAACCCGCACAACCGCACAAAGCCCAGAACATGTCTAAAACCAAGGCTTGCGAGACGGTGAAGGTGGTGGTGCGATGCCGCCCATTGAACGGGAAGGAGGACGCGGCTGGTTACGAGGAGGTTGCGGATATGGACGTGAAATTAGGACAGGTGTCCATCCGGAACCCCAAAGCCATATCCAGCGAGTTGCCCAAAACCTTCACCTTCGACGCTGTCTACGATGTGAATTCCAAGCAAAGCGATCTGTACGACGAGACGGTCCGCCCTTTGATTGACTCGGTTTTGCAAGGCTTCAATGGGACAATTTTCGCTTACGGTCAGACAGGGACTGGCAAAACCTACACCATGCAGGGGGTATGGACTGATCCAGAAAAAAGGGGCATCATCCCTAATTCATTCGAACACATTTTCACTCACATATCGAGATCCAAGGACCAGCAATATCTGGTGAGAGCTTCTTACCTGGAGATCTACCAAGAGGAGATCAGAGATCTGCTGCACAAGGACCAGAGCAAAAAACTGGAGATGAAAGAAAAACCAGAAACTGGTGTTTACATTAAAGGTGAAGTACAAAACTGATGTTTTTTTTTTCCTTAACATTTAACGATAAAGGCAACTGAAAATAACAGTTGCAAATGCATGGAAACCCCAATAAACAAGACGTGATAATAGCAGTAATAATAATCCTTGCATTTGATGAAGTGTCTTATCACGTCTTCGAGACATCTCAAAGCGCTTCACGGAATATACCGCAAAGTGAATTGGTTGTTTATTCTGTGGGCAAAACGTGGAAAACGAAAAATGTGGCAATGAGGTACGAGGAGTTGTGTTTGTGTGTGTGTGTGGGGGGAGAAGGGGTGGGGGGGAGAGGATAGAGGTCATGGTTGCATTTGTTTTTATTCACCAGTAACATGGGTGGGGTGCGGGGAGAGAGGGAAGGAGGGATGGAGAGCTCTGCCACTGGGAATTCTCATGGTCTTAGAATTCGTCAGGCAACTAATTAAAAAATAATGAGATACTGAAGGTTTGCCAGTCGCACTGCAAGCCAACCCTGGTCCTGGAATCCATCCATACATTTAAAGGGCAGTCCCACCCTCGAACTAACAGGAACACACATCATGTTAATTATTGCAGGGGAACCTACGCTGAATTAATAGGTTAGCATTGGTTATTGAAGCAGATCCCTACATTTTTATAAAGGGAATTAGATGCTTGAAAAAAGTAGCATACTATAGGGTGTATGGAAAGCAAGCAGAAACCGGAGATAGATTTGGTGGAGAAAGGCGTCAGAGCACACTTGATTGTCTGAATGGCCTGTTTCTGTACTGTAAGATAATGTGGTTTTATTATTATTATACTGATAATTGATTAGTCAGTGGTGCAATAAACACAAAAGAAAGTAACCCATTAATTATCTGGCAGTGTTAGATACCATGCCCATTGTCAATGTGCAGAGGGTCACCTGCTGCCAGTATTGCTGCTGCAACAATAAAACAAGCAGCAGGATGCACATCTACCTTTCTATTTATCTGCTGGGCAACAGACACGATTCAACTGAAAATATAATGCAAAACTCCCTCATACCATTTACTGTTTAGTTATTAATTCAGTGTCTTGCATAACAATTTATGGACATAAGCTTGAATGAGAAATGGCACAAAATGCTCATTCACTTATGTCAATAATTAATAGAATTTCCATCTATAGAAAATGTTGGCACAATTATTCCTATTAGAATATTGTGGTTTGAATTAATTTGTCTCAATTTGATAACCCTTCTATTATCCTCTTTTTGGATTACAATAGCCTTTCTAGCTCTCATCTTAGATCAAGATCAGAAGAGAGATTTGGATGAAGAAGGCCTATAGTAATTTGGTCTTATCCTTCCTCAATACCAAACTACCATCTTCCCATCACAGCATCAAGCTATTCTTTAAATGAACTCAATATCCTGGCCGCAACTATCATTCCTAACAATCTATTCCAGTTGTTAATTACCCACCCCTCTGAATAAAGAAAATTTTCTTGGAGTCTGACCTAAAGTTGCCTTATGCAATTCTAAACATGTGCCCTCTTGTTTTGCTGTCTCATTGCTTCTGAAAATCCTGTTCTGATTTACTCTCTCAATCTCATTTAAAATTATGTATACAACAACAACTTACATTTATATAGTGCCCTTCATGCTGGACAGCATCTTAGAGCGCTTTTATTATCCTCCATTATTTGTATAATTTTATAAATGTTCTACAGATGGCACTTTTGATAAACCACAAATAATCAGTTTGGTTTTCTTTGATCATCTGAAGTAATTAGATGGATACACTCAAAATCAAATTTCAGATCATTTCTATAACAAGATAGCATTATATACATAATATGTTAAATAAAACCATTGAAAATGTCAAAGCTGCATTAAATTCTATTTGGTTAGCGATACAGATTATAGTTTATTTTTGGCCTGTTGTTATTTTGAAGATTGTGGGTAATATTTTGAGGAAGGAGTGGGTAGACGACAGAAAATAATGTTTATTTGACCTAACCAACACACAACAAACAACCAGAAATGATTGTGCTCATGATTCTGTGACAGCAATCATAGAATGCAATAAATGCAACATTATGGTTGCCATATTAATTCTTGATGTTTCTTAAGTTGATGGAAAGGACAAGGAACAATAAAAGGTGAAGATACTCAACTGGAGGAGGGCTAATTTCAGTGAGTTAAAAAGGGACCTAGCCAAGGTGGACTGGAAGGAAAGATTGGCAGGTAAAACAGCTAATGAAGCCTTCAAGGAGGAGATAGTTTGGGGACAGAACAAGTACATTCCCACAAAGGGGAAAATTAGGGCATCAAAACAGTAAAAGGAGTCTTATGATAAATGTCAGGTCCAAAACACAGAAAATAATCAAATAGAATATAGAAAGTACAGAGGAGAACTGAAAAAGGAAATAAGAGGGGCAAAGAGAGTATAAAGATTAGCGGGTAACATAAAAGGGAACCCTAAGGTATTTTATAAGCATATAAAGAATAAAAGGTTAGTCAAAGTTAGGGTGGGTCCAATTAGGGACCAAAGAGGATATCTTCTTGTGGAGGCAGAGGGCATGGCTGACGTACTGAATGAGTACTTTGCATCTGTCTTCACAAAAGAGGAGGATGAAGCCAATACCACAGTATTGGAGGAGAGGGTAAAGAAATAGAATAAGGTAAGAATAAAGCAAGAGGAGATACTAAAAAGGTTGTCGGTGCTCAAGGTAGATAAGTCACCCGTTCCAGACAGGATGCATCCTAGGTTATTGAGGGAAGTAAGGGTGGAAATAACGGAGGCTCTGGCCACAATCTTTCAATCCTCCTTGGGTGGTGCCAGAGGACGGGAGGATTGTAAATGTTACTCCCCTGTGCAAAAGGGGGCAGAAGGATAAACCTTGGACCTACAGGCCAATCAGCCTAACGTCAGTAGTGAGGAAATTTCTAGAGACTATAATCCGGAACAAAATAAATTTTCACTTAGAAAAATATAGGTTAATAAAGGACAGCCAACACGGATTTCTTCAAGGCAAATCATGTCTAACGAACCTGATAGAGTTTTTGATGATGTAACGGAGAGGGTGGATGAAGGTAGTGCAGTTGATGTAGTTTATGTGGATTTTCAAAAGGCATTTGATAAAGTGCCACATAAGAGACTTGTAAGCAAAATAGAAGCCCACGGTATTACAGGGACAGTGGCAGGATGGATACAGAACTGGCTGGGAGACAGAAAGCAGAGAGTGGTGGTGAACGGTTGTTTTTCTGACTGGAGGGAAATATGCAGTGGTGTCCCCCAGGGGTCAGTATTGGGACCACTGCTGTTTTTGATCAATATAAATGACCTGGACTTGGGTATAGGGAGTACGATTTCACATTTGCGGATGATAGTAAACTAGGAAAAGTAGTAAACAGTGAGGAGGATAGTAGTAGACTACAAGAGGAAATAGACAGACTGGTAAAATGGGCAGATACGTGGCAGATGAAGTTTAATGTGGAGAAATGCGAAGTGATGCATTTTGGGAGGAAGAATGAGGAGAGGCCATATAAGCTGATGGTACAATCTTAAAGGGGGTGAAGGACAGAGAGACCTGGGGGTTCATATGAGTAAATCTTTGAAGATGCCAGGACAGGTAGACAAAGCTGTTGAAAAAGTATATGGGATACTAGGCTTTATAAATAGGGCCATAGAATACAAAAGTCAGGAAGTTATTATGAACCTTTATAAAACACTGGTTAGACCTCAGCTGGAGTGCTGTGTTCAGTTCTGGGCACTACACTTGTCAAGGCATTGGAGAGGGTGCAGAGGAGATTTACCAGGATGGTACCAGGAATGAGGAGTTTTCAGGAGAGGCTAGAGAATCTAGGATTATTTTCCTTGGAGCAAAGAAGGTTAAGTGGAGACTTAATAGAAGTTTTCAAAATTATGAGGGGATTCAATAGGGTGAACAAGGAGAAACTAGTTCCACTGGCGGGTAGGTTGGTAACCCGAGGATACTGATTTAAAATAGTTGTTAAAAGAAACAGAGGGGAGATGAGGAATAATTTTTTCACACAGAGAATTGTTCAGATCTGGAATGCATTGCCTCAAAGGGTGGTGGAAGCCTATTTAATAAGAACTTTAAACTTTTAAGAGAGAAGTAGCTAATTATTTGGGGAGGACAAGTTTGTAGAGTTACGGGGAGAGAGCGGGGAAGTGGGATTGATTTGGATAGCTCTTTTCAAAGAGCCGCTACAGACACGAAAGAAAGAGGAGTTAGTTATGAGGGGCATTGCAGAAAAGATGTACAGAAAGGGGAGGCCTGCTGCATCATGTTCTCCCAGTGGCTATAGATGTCTGTGCTTAAATTATATGAGGTACTATTGTTTTTAGGAAAGTGGATCTTTTATAGTGTGTGTCAGACCATTATCAAATGATTGCTTATTTCTTATTTACAGATCTTTCCTCCTTTGTGACTAAAAATGTGAAGGAAATAGAGCATGTTATGAATGTTGGAAACCAGACCAGATCTGTGGCTTCTACCAACATGAACGAGTACAGCTCAAGGTCTCACGCTATTTTTGTCATCACTGTGGAGTGCAGTGAGCTTGGCCTGGATGGTGAAAACCACATCAGAGTGGGCAAGCTGAATCTGGTTGACCTTGCGGGCAGTGAACGGCAGAGCAAAACTGGCGTCCAAGGAGAACGTCTGAAAGAAGCTACTAAAATCAATCTTTCCCTCTCTGCTTTGGGTAATGTAATATCTGCTCTCGTGGATGGCAAAAGCACCCATATCCCTTACAGAGACTCAAAATTGACCCGTTTATTACAAGACTCTCTTGGAGGCAATGCTAAGACAATTATGGTGGCCACCATTGGTCCAGCATCCTATAACTACGATGAGAGCTTGACAACCTTAAGGTACGCCAACAGGGCTAAGAATATCAGAAACAAGCCAAGAATTAATGAAGATCCCAAAGATGCCTTGTTGAGAGAGTTTCAAGAAGAGATTGCTCGGTTGAAGGCCCAGCTGGAGAGAAGGGGGATGTTGAGCAAGAAAAGAAGGAGAAGCCAAAGGAGGAAGTTTTCAGGAGAAGAAATCACAGATGGAGAAGGAGAGGAGACTGAAGATAACATCGAGAAAGACATGGAAAACTATTTGAAGGAACAGAAGGAGACACTGGAGAAAGAGAAAGCAGCAATTCAAGATGATCATAATTTGGTGGCAGAAGAAAAACAGAAGTTACTGGAAGAGAAAGAAAAAATGATGGAAGATCTGAAAAATGAGCAGCAAGCTACAGAACAGCTGGCAGCCAAGTTTAAGGTAGGCTGGTGATCAACAGTGTTTTCGACATTAGACAATCACAAATCCTAAAAGTAAGATAGTTCTTTTGGTGTTTAAGCAGTGAGTATATAGTGAACTACATGCAATATAATAATCTACTCACCAAAATAAAGTACTATGATGAATACAGTGAAACACAATACATGGTGTTTCAGGTGTATCAATGTACTTTATTACAGTAACTTTTCATATCAATGTCTCAGTGTCTAATGAATTGCTAATAAGTTCAAGTGGTTTATTTTCCATCAAGATTAGATATTTATTTCAAATGAAATTAAAGCAATAATTTTCAAGAGTTCATTCTACATTTGTATAATTCAATATTATTTTCCAGCATTTGTTGCAGATTAAATTCCCGTAATATTTTATTGATGGTGCCACAAATATAATTCTACAATAGTAAAAAATTGTATTTGCCATGCAATGAAGTATGTAAACAAAAATAACAGGAGTGATTGTTTCTGATTTGGGGACTCAGATGTTAAGAAATTATTGTGGCTGCAGATGAAGAGTTAATAATTTATTGGTTGATGCTTTCTCTGGCATTACCAGTCCAATGCTGTTTGAGTTTCCATGTGGCAATGGCAGGTGTGTCACATTCACTAAGGGATTTTTCTATTAGATTACTACAATTCAGCATTCTATCTGAAGAGTAGAAAGTTATGAGTTTGATTAAAAATTAATACAAGCAATCAGTTATCCTGAAAATGAAGCTCTTGATGAGATTATATGTGCGTAACTGCATCAAGACAGCAAAACAAGAGGACATCGGATTAGAGTTGCAAAGGACAATTTGAAGATAGATGCCAGGACATTTTTCTTTACTCAGAGGGTAATTAATGACTGGAACAGGTTGTTAGTAGGATGGTTGAGACATTGGACTCATTTAAAAAGTAGCTTGATGCTGGGGAGGACAGTATTCTAGAAGATGAGATCAAATGGTCCAAAGGAGCTTTGTCACCAAATCAATCTTGTGGTCTTGTCTGGTCTTGTGAATTACTGCCACCCACTACCATTACTGAAAAGTGAGCTCTGTCGATTACTCAGGTCACTTCTTATTTGGATTTAATGTGAATCACAGATTTATATGGTTTTCATAGCACTTTAGGCTTTGGACTAATTCCAATCTTAAATGATTTGATTTGTGTGGTTTGTGGGTTATGGTCGGTGCCCTACAACTAACATGCTGGAAATACAGCACTTCTAACAACTGACTGCTAAGCATCAGTGCAGACTGCATGGCAATATGCTTTCACTTTACATTATGTTAAAATATGTTGTTTTAATATAATTTTGTGTGACAATCAAATACACGTTGTTTCGCCTTTTCAAAGCTATTTGATCATATTTTGTATTTATTCTGAAAAACTTTCCAATAGAACCCAATTGTCAAAAGTCCAGCCTCCACTTGTTAAATTTGTAAGGTAAGGTGATGTAATTCTATTTTTCAAGGTATAACTCAACATGCTGCCCATGGCGAAGGCCTTCGATCAGATTATGCTACAATAAGGATACTGTACTGACAGTGAAAACAGATACCTTCAGTTATATGAAACGTAATTGAGTCATGCTGGATCAGGACTCCAGTAGCGAACCCACTTTTCTAAAGGCTCACTATATCTCAGTAACAGAATAAATTGGAGACTTTTTTTTCATATTAAGAATATTTTCGGAAGCATTTAAGCAACAAAGGAAAAAATATTACAGCTATATTTTTGAAGCTGGTTTGATGTGGAATAAATGTTTCTGAAGTGAACAGTATGTTCAGTCTTTCAAAGCTTTTGTACATGTGTGACCTGATCCCACCATCCTTCCATATTTGAGTTTATACTTAAAGTTCTTTTCACTGCGGCACTCATAGCTAATTTATTTGAAAAGTTTGACTGAACTAGACACTAATCATTTAAATTCATCCAATGAAATGTTTTGCAGTAGGTTTGGAAGCCATAGAACTGATAGCTGGTGCCCTGGTCTCTCTCCCTTGATTACTTAAATCCTCAGGAGGTGGCAGTTTCAGAGCCTTCTTTCACCAACGCATAAAGTCTCAGCATGCAAAGAGTCTGCTCTAGACTCTTGGATGTACCATTCTTGATGATAAGAGATGTGTAAGAGTGCTTGAATTGACCAAGTTGTTCTCTCCCTGTGTGAGAGAATTTCCCATTAGGTATGTAATTCAACTGAGATTGTTGGGAACTTCATGGTTGTGCATCTGAGACAAATTACTCATTCTATGGCAGAACCCATTGATATACTAGCATAGCTGGTAAAATATTAACAATGAAGGTCCACAAATTCTGAAGGTAAAACTGTCAGCTGGTCAATTTTATTTTCTTGCTGGTGCATTTCGAACAGCATATTTTGTACTTCGAGATGGAAAGGGCATTTTTTTAAATATTGAATGTTATATGTATTATTATAATTTTATTTAGTAGAATCTATAAGATTATAATCTGTCATTGATTTCAGCTAATCATATACTATAGGAGAATGCATTATTAGAATTGTGAAAAATTCTGAAATTCATCTCAATTTGAAAGCCAGTTTTCTGCAGATTTTGAATAGGTCCAGCTTCTAAATTAAGACCGCATTTAAGAATTTTGCAAAATTCTATGTGATCTTAAATTTTTAGGTAAGATGGTCTTACAAGCTAAGACAAGGTGGAATTTTGGGTCAATGGGTTCATATTCTATATCACATTGCCATAGACAGTAATACATCAAGCAAATCAAATTAAGTCATATGGTTTAAGGAGAAAGCAAAAGTAGATTTTTGCTGTCAGGTGAGACCCACGTACATTAAATGTCATTTCCTGCATTAATTTCAGAAACAGGTTTGATGGACTTAAATGGCAAACTTCTGCTCATATGTTGGTTATTTTAATTCTCAACTTTCCCCCTGTAGCTCACAGGTAGCATATGTCATATAATGTCTCTGTTTCAGAGGACAGGTTGCAAATCTCATCCCATGTCTCTTAACATTTCAACAATGAGACAGCTGATTGATGAGCAAGAGTAAGGAGGAGTACCCAATCATCTGATTTTCACTCTCTTCCTATGATGAATTTCATAGCTTCTTCCTGTTGCTTTCTTAGGATCTCGCTTTTGAAACCATTGTATTGTGTGCTCATACTTGTGCCCCCAATGCATTGAAACTCCCTAATGCATTAAACTCCCAAAAGCATTACTTCATCTAATCCGTGGGGTTGAATTGCTTTTGTAACAGATCAGTGCAATTCATAATATCAAAAGAGATATTCAGACAAAGAAGGTCCGTCAGACTTTGGCCATCTCTCCCCTCCCCACCCCCTTCTGCTCCCACCTTGGGCTCGTGTATCCAGCCAACAGAGTTAAATGTTTTGAGACATCCTTCTGATGTGAAATGTGCTACATAAATACAAATGATATTGTATTGTATGGATGCAATTTAACCAGAACGCTAAGCAGCCTGAGTATAACCTCTGGAGGTTTCAACTCAACTGATCTTCATTATTCAGACACCACCCCAGGCACATACCCGATCAAACTCTCTCTTTGCTGCCTTCTCTGATTCCACAGTTCCCCTAATTTAGTCTATCTGCAGATTTAACTGCAAATTTGGCCCACATGTCTAGGCTGACACTTCAATACAGTGCCGGTGATGCACTGTTGAAGGTGTCGTTCTTTGGATGAGATGTTAAAATCTCACTAGATCCTGTCTATCTGTTCAGGTGAATGTTAAAGATCCTACAACACTAATTTGAAAAGAAAACCGAGTTTCTCCTGGTATCCTAGCCAACAATCTTTCAAATATAATTGGTCATTCACTTCATTACTATTCGTGGGGTATTGATGTGTGCAAATTGGCTGCTGTGTTTGCCTATAAATACAATACACTTTACAGTATGTTGAATCCTGTGCAGTGTTTTGCAGATGTGAAACAGCATTATAGCAAATGCAAGGATCATTGTTAACTAAATTATATTGGGCATATGCATCTAGGTCACTAATGTATACAAGGGCTAGAAGGACCAACAGTATAGATCCCTAAGGCATCCAGGTTAATACCTCTCCCCATTTTGATCTAGCTCGCTTAACAATTACCCTCTGCTTCCTTCTCTTCAGTCAATTTAGAATCCATGTCTTGCCTTTGATACCTAGTGACATCAATTCATGAAGAAATATCTAATGTGTTGCTTCGTCAAATGTAGTTGGAAGTGTAGGTGCACTATGTCATGTGGCTTCTCACAGATAATTTGGGATGTCACCTCTTCAAAAAAGTCTATGAGGTTAATGACTGACTCTACCATTTTTCCAATTACAGATATTGAGGTTAGATCAATGAGTCTATAATTGCTAGGTTATGTCACCTTTTTTGAATATGAGAACCACATTTGCTTGCTTCAGGTCTGTTGGAATCCACCAGTGGTGATTGACTTCATTTGCACTTTTTTTCTGTTTCCGACTTAAAATTGTAACTCTGTTGATGCCACAAATTTACCTTTATACCTTAAAAACCATATTATCCTACCCATAATGTCAATAAAACCCTTCAGAAACCTCCAGCAACTTTGTTAAGTATGATGTTCCATTCCTGCCCTTTCAGCTCTTTAACATTTAATAAGAATAAGACATGATGAAGGGTGGTTCTTTGATTGTGGATGAAAGAATCTTGTTGGCCAAGAACAATTTTATTTTCCCATTAATTTTTCATCATAAAGGTACATTGCCAAGATCTATAAATTTATGGAGCAGCATAAGAGCAGCAGTGTGGCCGTCTGGCTCAATTGGTAGCACTCTTGCGTCTGAGTTAGAAGTTGTGGATTTACGCCGTAGGTCGGGACATGAACTCACTTTGTCTAAGCTGACATTCCATAGCAGTGCTGAGGGGGGTGTTGCATTGTCACAGGTGCTGTGCTTCGGATGAGACGTTAAATCAATGTCTTATCTGCCTGTTCAGGTGGATGCAATAGTACTTTTTGAAAAGAGAAAGAGGTTTCTCCT